TTCATTTAAAAAAATAACAAGAATAATAAAGTAATATAATTGCTTGAGCTATCAACCATTCCTATTTACACATATGTGTGCATGAAAACAGAGAGTGAAGGAGAGATAGAGAGAGAAAGAGAATTCCTTCTCTCCATGAGATATGTTATTTCAGTGCTTAATAATCTAGAAATAAGCAATTTTGAGATGGTTAGAATACAGGCAAAAATATACAGAAAGAATGTGGTACTCTTCTGTAGTTTTATTTCTGAGACTGTCATACTGGACCTCAGTTTCTCCTTTTCTTTCATTCCCCAAATGAACACCTTCAGTAGCCCATGCTGAAAACACATACACACACACAAAGAAAGAGAGGCAGAGAGATGGAGAGAGATAATATTTTTCCTTTCATCAACAGAGCAAATATTGGGACTTATAAGGAAATGGGGTGGAGGGTGGAGGATCCTAGGAGGACTTCCAGTCTGTCCATCCTGTGTTCAGACACTTCAAGCTGCTGCTCCAGCACGCAGGTGTCAACAATATCCTAGCTCCATGCTGCTGTAATGAAGTATCTCTGTCCCCACTGGCCTTCCTTCCTGCTTGAGAAATCCTGTTTCTAATTAATCCAGGCTTCTAGGTGAGATTGCTGTATCCTATTCAGAACAGGCACAAACCTGAAACCATGGAGTTCTTATCTCAGCATCTCTGAACCCTCTTCTCCACCAAAAACAAAGCAAACACCTCCTGGGCACTGGATGCAAGACTCTAAGTGACTGAGGGACACAAATTATCATTCTGTGTAAAGTCCACAGCAGGCACCCTCCCTGGGTAAGTACACAGGATGGCCATTTGTTATTGAGAGAGCTGAAAAAAAAATGCCTCTCTCATTGGAGTAAAAAGTAGAAACACATTTTCATTTTTCAAAATCAGTTCTACTTGTAATAAGGAGAAGATAACAAACATGTTTGGTTTCACAGGTATGCACCGGAGTGTGCCCTAGAACTCTTCTTGTGAAATATTAACTCACCATGGCAAGAAGAGCTATATACAAAGTGTATGATAATACTTGAACAAGAAAATTTTTGAAAAGTATATACTAATAGGAAAGGTTTTAAAAGGATAACTTCAGTCTTGATTTTACTCATAATAAGTGACTTTTATAGATGTAATTCCTGAATCTAGGACCTTAGATTTCCCCACCTGCATTAGGAGATGATTAATTAGTATTTGCATGGCAAATTTAATTAAGGCACCTTCTTTATAGACTTCATCAATTGCATTTGACATCCAGAAAGGAACTCTTTTTTTTTTCTTCCCCCTAGGTCAATCTTTTATACTAAAGGATGTAAAACAACCTAATTTACAGTCAAGCCACTCAAAATTGAGTGTTAGCAACATCTGAAAATACAAATTTCAAATAGATTTCTTTCTCATTTTAAATTCAATTCAGATTTAGTCTTGATTAAGCCTGGTTCATTTTCATTTGCCTAAAATAAACCATTAAGCAAGAAATATTAGTGAAAATGTAACATTAGTTAGGAGTAGCTTGCTGCAATTGAGCTTTAACTTTGAAAGAAAACTTACCTATGTATGTGTGTGCATGCACACACGTGTGTGTGTTCATGTGTGTGTGTCGCGCATCTATCATACACACTATACTGTCTAGTTTTGTGTGTCAACTTGACACAAGTTTGAGTCATCAGGAGAAGGAGTCTCAACTGAGGAAATGCCTCTATGAGATCCTACTGTGAGGTATTTTCTCATTTAGCGATTTATGGAGGGGGGGGTCCAGCCTATGGTGGGTAGTGCCTCCTTTGGGCTGGTGGTCCTGGGAAAGCAGACTGAGGAAGCCAGGGGAAGTAATCCGGTAAACAGCACCCATCCATGTCCTCTGCATCAGCTCCTGCTCTCAACCTTGGTTGAGTTCCTGTCTTGACTTCCTCCAATGATGAACAACAATGTGGAAGTATAAGCCATTTTAAACCCTCTCCTCCCCAACTTGCTTTTTTTGTCATGGTGTTTTGTTGCAGCAATAGAAAGCCTAACTAAGACACATACACACACACACACACACACACACACACACACACACACACACACCATATATGTAACTAAAAGCCTGACTGCCACCATAACTGAGGCCAAGAACCTAAAGCTGAATAAGCTCATAGGCCCAAGGAGAGATCCTACAACTATTGTTCTCTAAAAGGACCTAGAATTAAAGCAACACCTTAATACCTATATTCATAGTTAAGTGCATCTCTCAGGCCTCATCACAGAAGCCTCTATGTGCAGTAGAAGGTGAATAACTCCCACAACTCATCCCCATACAGAGAATAACAGACTTTGAGCTCTAAGTACTAAATGGGACATGTGTCACACCCTCTCCTCTCAATGCCTTAGACCATCACTAAAGAAGGACTGGAAGAACTGTAAGAGCCAGAGGCTGTGATGACTATATTGAAGCAGTGTTTTCTGGGCACAGCAGGATAGCTGCACATGGACTCATGGTAGCTCTGACTGCATACACAAGACCTCTACAAGATCAAACCAGACAAAGCCCCAGCATGAATGGGGAGATGATCTTAACGTCCAACCCTGGGCTGTGAAGCTAATGGCAACTGATGGTTGGAAGGGGGGGGGGGATGTTGTGATCCAGCTGCCCTCACTCCCCCTGACTGACAGCAGAACTTCCTTGTGGTCTGTAATTGACAAGGAGTTTGTGTTCTTTCTGGCCAGTGGGTCTCCACAGAAGGAGTAGAGGTATAAAAGGTTGCTGGACAAAATAAAGGCTGCTGTTCTTCCACCCGAAAAGAAGCCTCTGTGTCTCAATCCCGGCACCCCCCCCACCCGTCTTGGCATGCAGGCTGCACTCGCTGCAGCAAGGGGAGAGTTCTTTAAGAAATGTGAGCACCCTGAAGGCTATCCAAGCTCCACCACATGGTCACACAGTCATGCACGTGCAGGCAGCACTAAGTAGACACAGTGGGTTTGAAAAGAGGACACCCGAAATTGGCAGGGAATCCCATGTAGAAGTAAAGAAATGGAGATGTGGGAAAGAGGGCTGGACTCAATCAGACCATATTGTATGCATTTATGAAGTTCTCAAATAAATGTCCAGATGCACATTAACAGAAAAATGCACAAAATAGGGCATGCCCACACAATGAGAAATTATTCTGCAGTTAAAAAGGAGTAAAATATTGATGCATACCAAATTACAGAGGTGCCACAAATCGAACTGCAAATGAAGCCAGAAACCAAAGAACATATAGTGTATTATTTGTCTGAAATGTTTAGGGAAAGCAAGCCTATAGGAACTGAAAAGGAGATGCAAAATCTCCTGGAGTTCGGATGGGATACAAGCAGGCATAATGGATCTTACAAAGTGTTGAAGACTAAAACTACATCATAATAATCATTATGCATCTTTTTGAAAGTTTTAAAAATTATTAATGGGGTGACTTTTTAAGAATAATTTGCCTTTGAAGAGGGTAAATGATATGATGTACAAATTTATGATCTATATCTCAATAAATTTATTGTTTACATCTGTAATGCAAACTCCATAGGAATTTAAATAATTGCAATACTATTAGTAAAAAAATAAATTGATCCATCATTAACTCCAACATATGCTTAAATTGACAAAAGAAGTTGGAAAAATTCTTCAACAAGAATGAAATTTGACACTTCTTAAAATATTCTAGATTGAGTAATACCCCAGTCTGTGTTACTTTGTTGAAAAAAAATTATAGACAAAAAATTAGTTGATTACTAAAACTCTTCCAAGAGCCTTTTATTTCTTTAAATTAGATTTTGTTTAAAATTGAATCAGCTGAACTTGCTAAACACTTTTTTTGGAAAATTAGCTCTCAGAAGACAGTGTCAGTTGAGGGGCACTGATTAGTGTCTGGCAGTCGCAGGACACAAAGATTTTGAAGATGAGACCTTTGGCATCAGAATTGTGGTCACCAGTTTTCATTTTAATGGGCCAGACTCTGAGCTTCCTAATATTAAATTCAAGGAAGAATTTTTTATCGTGTCAAGAAAGAAAAACGACATCCAGTGAAGTGGACAGGGAGATTTTTAAAGGTTACTGTTTACATACAGAAATACAACTGCCAAGAGTAAGTCTGATCCAATACTGCTTCAGGACCAAACCGCTCATAAGAGGGCTTCGTTTTGGTTCTTTCCCGACTGTGCGTATGTCTAAGCCATCATGAGAGCCCAGAATCCACCTGCTGGCCGGGCAGAGTCCAGATGCTAACCCCACTGTTTGCCTAACTGCTTCTCTTTCGCCCCAGCAACTGCAGGTCAGGGCGCTTTTCTGATCAGGAATGCACTCTGGTACCACCTCGGAGAAGATGAAACGACATTATCATCTCCGCTTCCCTAAGGAAGGCAATTGAGTTGTGGGATCCATAAGACTGGATCACCCTTTCCAGAAGGCACCTTCACGAAACTCCCAAAAGGCTGCAGTAATAACAGCCAGTACTAACCTGCACTGGGGCGCCCTCTGCCTCTCAGGCTCTGCGACCACCTGCCACTTGAGTCCCTCCTCCTTCACCAGCTATCCTAGCAGTGGGGACAGTCTGATACAGCTATGGGGCTCCCCGAGGTCACCGGTTCCCTCACAGGCACATTTTATCTCTGAGAGCGAGCGGGTTGGAACTCAGATTTCTACTGCACTGGTGGCAGCTCACCGCCGCTAGGCAGGAGGAAAACGACGTGTCGTTGATGGCGCGACAGGAGAAGGGCTCAGGAACTTACAACCAGCGGTCCCCAGAGTCCGGACGCTTTCAGTGCCCAGTGGGCAGACCTGCCAGGTGCACCTGCTTTCACTCCGATTGTCCCCCCAGCTTCAGGTGGAAGGATAGGATGTGCTCTGAATTCCCCGCTTGGTGGAAAATAGCAAAGTTGTGCTTACGTGTTCGCTCGCTCAGTCTCCCCAACTCCCCGAGTCCTTTCCCTTCCTCCTCTCTCTAGTGACACCCGCTCGCAGTCCGCCAGGTACGTACCAGCTGCGCGCGAGAGGTGTGAGCAGAGCCCGGCCAGGTCCCTTGCTGCGTCGCCTGCCGGCCTCTCTGCAGCACGGGGCTGCGACGCGGCTGGAGCTCGCTGCCGCCTCTACCGTGAGAGCCGGGCTGAGGCAGTGGCAGCAATTTGTGGGGCGGAGGGAGCGACTCGGTCCCGCCCCCGGGAGCTGAGCTCTCAGACCAGCCCTGCTAGCAGAGCCCGCCAACGCCGAGCCCCAGGAGGTAAATCCAACAGAGGCTCTTCCCTCCAGGCGTCCTAAGGGGAAAGCTCTCTTCTCTGCACGGTCCACAGAGAACCTGAGTCAGTTCCCCTGGGTTCGGTTAAGAATTCCACTACCCCAGAGAACCTAGACAACAAAGAGGACCTTAAGAAAGACATATGTGGGTCTACATTAGAAGAAGGAAAAGGCAAGCACTCCAGAGTAAATTGAGAACATTGGAATCACGGGAGAGCGGGAAAAGGGAGGGAGCAGACAAAAATGTATAGCTCAATAAAAACAATTAAAAAAACAATAAAGTATATTAAAAATGGAAAAAAAAATAAAAGCTCTTATGTTTATACTTGAAGTATGCTTTTTATAGCTCTGATATTCTGCAAAATTTATATTTATCCCTGTTTGTAAATTACTGAACACTGATCAATAAATTCATGAAACTACCCTTAAAAAAAAAAGAATTTACTGGAGAAAACCGCGGGAAGTTCGCACTTCTTCTGCCTTCTGTCTGGGTGATGTACCCTTCCCTCCGGTCCCGGTGCGTTCCCGGGTCTTGGGCTCCGTGGTGTCAGGAGGTTGCACTTGTTTTAGCAAGGGGTATTTGGAGAAGGCAGGTCTGTCTGCACCTGGAATATGCGTGTTCGTGTTTATTTTAGGACTCTTTAAGCACATTGGAGTCTCACGCCATGGAGAACACGTGTGTGTGTGTGTGTGTGTGTGTGTGTGTGTGTATGTGTGTGTGTATGTGTGTGTGTGTGCAATGAACAGAAATCAATGTATATCAAGTTTTACTTTTAGACTATCACTAAGGAAAATATTCTTACCGTTAAGCTGTCATTAATGATGCCTTTTTTTTTTAATACAAGAAATTGAAAACAATGCTGGTAACAAAACTATGAAGACCCGTCTCTGCTTTTGGAGGAGGTGGCCGCTGGTGTCCTGATAGTCACTAGAATTCCAAGAGTTCACAGCACTGGACTGCTCAGTTATCCTGTTTCTGGCTTCCAGGAATCCCTGGTCTCTGACACCCACTTCCCCACTGACTACTTCCAAATGCTTCCAAATGGCCTTTGTTTTGTTTTTCTGCTGGCTGCGAAATCAGAGATCCGCCTGCCTCTGCCTCGTGCGCAACCACCGCATGGTCCAATTGGCCTTTTTACGGAAAGACTGTGCCGCACTAAAATATAATCAGATAAAAATTGCCATTTAAAGTGTCTACAGAGTGTATGATGGTTGCACTCCAAGTTGCTCAGTATTTCTAACTGTGTGGTAAAAATTCTCGACCTGCAGTTTATAAACTGGAACTCAACAAAGTTGGATGGTTTGCATAAGATGAAACAGGAAAATCCAAACTTGAGATTGTCCCGAGGGTAAAAGGCACTTACTACTGAACCTGGTGACTTGAGTTGGATTCCACGACCGGAATGGTGGAAGGAGAAAGCCGACTCGGGTAAATTGTGGTCTGGCTCACACACATGCCCACACATGCATGCCTTCACCAATACACATGTATAAATTTAATTTTAAAATTTAAGAGAAGGCTGGAGCGATGGCTCCACGGTAAGGAGTTCTTGCTGCTCTTGCAGAGGAGCAGTGTTGCACTCCCAGCACCTTGTTGTATATTCCAACTGACTTTAACTCCAGTTCCAAAGGTCTGAGCGCCCCCTTCTGGCTTCCATAGACACTGCATGGATGTGATACATAAATATACTTGCAGACAAAACGTAAACATGAAATAAAAATAAAGCTTATTTTGGAAGATGCAATCTGATTTTAAAGTATGTGTCTTTCTTCCTTCAGAATGAGTGTCATGTTTGAATTAGCATCCTGATGTGATGCGATTCTGCGAAATCTTGGGATAAGTGCCCTTTTTTTCTCTGAGAAAGTTTTATGTAGTCACCATGTATCCATAAAATGAACCATGCATTATATCTGTCTTTAGGACAGCTTTAAAAGGTGCCTACTCTTTGGCACATTTACAAGTTCTAATACTAGTCTATAATGTAATACATGTGTTATCTAAGCCCAAAATTTTTAAATATTTTTATTTAAAAAAAATCTTAGTTTTCATTTTACAAACAACCCTGGTTCCCCCTCCCTCCCCTTCTCCTGATCCCTCACATCCCCTCCCTTCCCACCCCCACTCACTCCTCAGAGGGGGTATAAGGCCTTCCTTGGGGAGTCAACAAAGTCTGACATACCAATTTGAGGCAAGGTCAAGCCCCTTCCCTTCTGTATCAAGTCTGGGCAAGGAATCCCACCATAGGGAATGGTAAGCCCAGTTATTCTAAAGCTAGTTCCTATGATGGATCTACCATGGGGTGTGAGGGTAAAATAGCTGAGCTAATTGAGTTATTATATGATAATGATCAAAGTTTTATGACTGTTCAACTGTAGTACTTATACTCATAATTTATTTTATTATTTTAAAAACTACATTTGGGGTCAAATTTGATTTTCAAAACTAGTCCTCTGTGATGTGCCTTTAAGATATTACATATTTAAAATCAGCTGAACTCACAAGACAGTGAGTGTCCTCAATACCGAAAGTACCCACACAAAATAGATGTTTGGAGGGAAAGTTTTTTTTTTAATTCTGTACTGCATCATTTGGTTATTTGCCATAAATAACACAGTGCCACAGCACATGTTCCTTCTACCATGACCTGGAACAGGTCATCAGGCTTGGTGGTGGCAAATGCCTTTACCTAATATCATTTTTAAATGGTCAAACTAATTTATTTATGTTTGTTTCTATGTAGAGTGACTAAAAAATTATTTGTAGACTGCACTTAGCTACTTATAGAAGACTGACGATTTCTGGTGTCCTCTCAAGTCTAAATGATGCCATTGCCACCATGTGGACAGCCTGAAGGTCTGCAGCAGCTGCCACTGGGCAGAGCTGACCTTACATCCAAAGGGGTATTATAAATCTCAAAGGTATCAGTACTTTCTCACAGTTGCATCAAATTGTGTTAGACGATGACTTTAAATAGAGAAAATTTGACTCAGTTTTGAAGTTGTATCAAGAGACAGGATAGAAAGATGGTGAAAAGACAAAGCGAAGCTTGGGTGTTAGGTCTGGAAGAAGGTGAAGGAGAGGACTATGTGGTGAACTGAAGGCAAGATTTAAACTAAGTGACAACGAGCATTGAGAAAGAAGAGGAAATAAGCCATTTGCATTTCAACCAAATGATACAGACAAGAAGACAGAGGCTGTACTTGGAAGGCAGTGTGACATTTGTAGAAGTGTTCATAGAATAACGACGGCATAACTTATGGAGAAGTTGTGGGTGTGACTGGCTGACTGCGTCAACCACCAAACAAGTGCGTATCCACATAGACAGCCAAGCCACCAACAACGATGCCTGTGAGTATGTGATTAGATCAGGGGCCAGAGACATCCATCAACGTAGAGGAAAGATCTGGAAACAACGGATGTCTGAAAAGTTGAGAAGAAGGTGCACATCCAGAGAGGGAGAGCCTAAACGAGTGACAGACTGCTATAAATGGTGGCTAATGCTTCAATACCAGAGAGCAATGTTGTGTGATGCTTTTCCCATGAGCGCTAGGAAGGTGCGAGACAATCGTCAGAATAGCTGGTGACGCAGGTGACTATGAGGAAGGGAATGCTCACTCAAGTCTGGAACACGAAGCACTAGTGAAGAATGTAGAAAGATGGTGGTGTTCTTCAATATTAAATAAAGATTATCCCATCTCGGACTGGGTCCATGGGAGAAAACCCTTCAAGGCCCTACAACTGGTACCCGTGAACAAGGCTCTGCTTCTAAGAAAACCCCATCTTCTGCCCTTGCCTTGGGATCCTGAGTAACTGTTAGAAAGAGCCATTTCATCTTACTCTGGACTATGTGATGGGAAGGAACTGTGGGTGGGTAGAGAAATGCAAGAATTGGTGGAGCAACAAGCAGTCTGAATCCTCTACCGCTTGAAAAAGGAGGTGCCATTTTAAGGGAACACCAAGATTTTCAGGTAGAAGGGCTCTGCAAGGTCTCAAATGCAGCCTGGGTTCTGTTCGGTTCAGGATAGCGCAGGCTGCGATCTGAGGGCAAGGTGGGAACTGCCACTAACCACCTACTCCGCGGTTCTGTCGGAGATATTAGTTTCCGAGGTTGACCTGACAAATTGTTACAACTAGGTGATTTAACCAGCATGTTCTTATCTATTCTCTCACAGCTTGGGAACCAAAATCTGAAATCGAGGTTCCCACCTCCTCTCTCAGAACTATGGGAGAGAATATAGGTTCTGGTGTTCACACTCCGTTTGTCAGACTCGGCAAGAAGCCGTTTACCCACTGAACCATCTCACTGGCCCAAGGAGCATCTTATCCATAACTCTAAACTTGTCAAAGTTGTTCCTCTTATTAAACCTTTGTTGTCTTCTAACTCTAATCCAAAATACCCCCCTGTGAGTCATAAGTGGCTTTGTAACCACATGAATTCTTTGGTGTCAGCTGTAGGGAAGTGAAGAAGAGAAATTTCTTTTGTAAAGTAGAACCACAGGGAGATGATGTCTGAGGAGAAATTTTATTTCCAGTGATGAGTTTGAGCTCTGCTCTGCTATCTAGGATATGGCACCTTTGCCTACAAACTGGGCTTTTGAACTGTCAATTAATAGATAAGCATAAGATAAACCCTTTCTCCCAGTCATGTAGAAGTAAAGAAAGGAAGGAAACATGTGGAATGGGAGGAGGGGGGTGACTATATATAATCAACCACTTGAAGATGCAACAGGCCAATCCTAGGCCTTTCTGACTGTACCAAGACTAATTGATAGAGATACCTTCTTTCTAAAATTTGTTTATAAGAAAAGTGTTCATAGAAATTTTAGAAAACACATTATTTTCTCAAAACTCCAAATAAGTTTCTATATATTTTATT